AATCGATGATCTATAATCCGGAAAAATCGCTAATCGGGAATCGCCGAAGTCCTAACGAGTCCGAATTACAGACTTTGTACTGTTTTACCATAATGAAGCCAGAGCCAAAAAAAGAGTTTTTCAAATAATGTAACCTTAAAGAATGGTGCTTTTATATGTCAGCAGGTACTGAACTAATTCCTCAATTTGATTTTAGTAATTTTTTTAACACTGGGGTCTGTCTTAAAATTTAAGTGAGAGAAAATTACTCTTCAATTTCAGTGTGTGTGAAATGAAACTGTCAAAGTCTGGTTTTAAGGCATTAATACTCCCTCAACTGCAACACTTGTACAAGTGATTTAACATTTAAAGAAACCATAACTGTACAGTGGGAGAATATCGTCAAGTTTATCAATAACTTTGAAAGAACTGATGAAAATCTGGGAACCTAATGTTTTGCTAAAGGATATGATAAAGACTTTAGGACTAATAATTGGTTTGAAATAATAATGTTTGGATTAGACTGAATTTCACATAATGCCTTCTTGTACTTTTGATTAAGATTTGAAATAGATGATTTATTTATTATTAAAATTAACATTGCGAATAATTAAGCTGTGAATTATATATTCCAAAAAATTTGTTAAATTTATAATATTTTTAATGGGAGCAGTGATTAGGGAAGTTGAAGATTTACATGTTTGTGAGAAATTATATTCTAATACTTAGTTCGATTCTGTTTGTTTACCTCTGCATGTTAAATCATGTCATTCTGCTAAATAAAAAAAAAAAGGGGGGGAGGGCTTATTTTTACTAATGTGTATTGTGCTCTCAAAGTCTGCTCTTCAGAGTCTGTGCTTTTTCACAATCTCAATACCTAAAATTGGTTGTTATGGTAGAAGGTTTGGTTTGGTTTATTAGATTATAGCAAAGCACTCAAGGGCTACCTGCCTTAAGAGAGGGATGCCTTCGTTTAAGACTTTCTAAGGGCAACTGGCTCGTATGTACTTTTACACATGGGTAAAACCAAAAAAAAAAAAAAAAAAAAAACTCATGCAGCCAGCCTGTTTGCAGAATTCAAACCTTGGACCAGATTACCAGTGTTCAGCAACTTTACTGCTCTGCTGCTGGTGAGCATTGGCAGAAGGTTTTTTACCACCATCAGTGATAAAGTATTAAAAAATTTTCATCTTGCCATCAAACAAAACCATGGGCTATGAGAAATTACCATAACAACTTTTCGTCATTCCATTTTGTTTTTCTGGCTCTTACAAAATTACTGAGATTCTCCAGAAATTCAACTGTCAAGTAATTTTCTTGTCACTAAAATCCATTTTTAAGTTCTTAAAAATCCTGTCTCTGAGTTTAATTCGTGTGGGATTTATATGTTAGTGTGATTTGACATATCTTACCATGCTAGAAGATTGCTTAAATTTTGCATCAAGGAACATGAATCTTATGTTCTAAAAGGAGGAAGGAACCTTACATAGCTAATCATAACTGAGCACTTATTCATAGCTCTGACTTTGTTTCTGCAAAATTATCCATACAGCTTCAGCTCATGAACTGGATTTCCTTGTAGCCTTTCCCATTAAAAAAAAAAAAAAAACTCATGTTAATGCTATTAATCTTAACCTAAGTCTTCCTAATAACTAATTTTTCACATTTTATTACTGTTTTCCTTTATATGGGTGCTGCATTCATTTGCACTTTACCCCAGTTGCTTCTTATATAAAATGCTAAAAAAAAAAAAAAAAAAAAAGTCATAAGATGTGGGAGTTGTATTAGATCCACCTCAAAATCAAGAGTTTTTATTCAGAACCTATACCGAACTATGGTAGCCTTTTTGTGTAATGTTAAATTTTACATTGGCCTGTTTCTTCTTCAATTTAAAATCAATCTAACATTGTATTGAATTGAATTTTGCGTAAATTTATGTTTCAAATTTTCATTTTTTTCCACTTTACATATTCTCTATAAATAATAGCTCTTATAAAAGTTATGTGTTGTAAAAATGGGCAATTTAGTTTTATATTAATATTTTTCAAGTAATTTTGCACTTATTTATATAATTTGCCAAACTTAATATAATTAAAAAAAACTGATTATCATTTAAATAGTATTTAAATGTATTCTTCGATATAGTTATTTATTGGCTCAATTTACGTGCATTTAGTTGATATTAAAAATATATGTTGAAATAATAGTCTGTACGTGTTCCGGTTCTTTGCTCAGAAAATAAAGGTATTTGGTTTTATATAATTACTTAACTATCTATGCTTAAACTGAAGATGAAATTTACTTTTTTTTTAGGTACCATTGTTTGAAAAAGAGATATTTTGAATATGGTATGTTTTCTTTATGTATGAGTTTCACATTTATATATTATTTCATTATCAGATTTTTTTTGCATGCATAATAAAAATATTTAAATAAATCAGTACTCTGCTATTATTGGGACCGGGTTTAGAAATGGATGGATGTATGTGTGCTCATGTATGTATGTGTGTATACACATATATGCACATAGACAGCTACACATGAGCATACATACATTGCTGAATCCGGTCCCGATAATAGAAGAGTATTAATAAATCAGTAGTTAAAAATATATTTGGTTTTCTCTCCCACTATATTATTCCTTTAATACAGTTATATATTTATTTGTATTTTTCTCTGGTCATAGTATTGAAAATATAGCAAGTACCTGTTAATTTTTTCCACTTGTATGTTGAGTACCACTTGACATAATATTATTCTCTTGCAACTTGTAAGTGTCGGAGCATATCGTAACATAACTTGATTCTTCTTCAACTCGTATGTCAAGCACAGCTTGATCACACATATATCTGTTATTTATTTAGTGTATGAAATGTACACAATTATTACTATTAGCAAATTTGTTTTTAAATTAAAATTTATTGTAATGAAATTTTTAATTGTTACCCACGGAGGGTTAAGTATCATAGTGCAAGTGATATCTCTCAAGTTCTGCTGTTTAGATCACCATGGCAATATTTTATCTCAAGGGAGAGGGGGGAAGAAAACAGCATACTTCATGTTATTGGGTGAATCTTGAAATATTATATCCTTTCCTGCAGCTAAGCTTTAAAAAATTTCCTTCAGTATGTGTCAGCCATCAACTTAAGTACATAGTTTTAAGTATAAGTATCTTAAGTAAGTTTACAGTATCTTAACATAACTTAAAGAGCCTCTTGCTAACCGGTGTCCGCCGATAACATCGCGGAAAAAACATCGTGGATGAAAACGTCATGGAGAAAACAACGCAAGGTGAAAACGTCGTGCTACAAAACATCGTGGTACAAAACATCGTCGTAGAAAATAAAGCGGTTCAAAAACATCGCAGTTTAAAAACATCGACGTCGAAAATATCGTGGTAAAAAATAAAGTATCTACAAATCATCGCATGACGATAACATCGCAGACATGCTTTTTTCAGTTTTAATGTAAATGGGTATTTCCCATAATGATTTGTGAGCGCAAGGTGTAAAGAAGGATAAATTTTACTTTCACATATTTTTAACTAATAAATTTTTTGCTGAAAACGTAAGAAGGAAACTTAAGCATAGAAAATTAAATGTAATTTATAGATTATACTTTTCATGAAATATTACCCAGTAAAAACTTTATAAAAATGATTTATTAATGGCCTTTGTTAGTTAACTATGTCTGTTTAAAATTCTATTAAGTGCTATAAGTTGCATTAATTTTTATGCTTAAGTTTTCCTTTTTATTTTCTCAGCAAAAATTTATAATTAATAAAAATATGAAAGTAAAAATTATCCTTCTTTCCATCTTGCGCTCACAAATCATTATGGGACTATCCATTTACACTTATTAAAGCATGCCTGAAAAAAGCATGTCTGCGATGTTATCGTCATGCAATGATTTGTAGATACTTTATTTTTTACCACGATATTTTCAACGACGATGTTTTTACACTGCGATGTTTTTGAACCGCTTTATTTTCGACGACGATGTTTTAGAACTGCGATGTTTTCTCCCACGATGTTTTGTAGCACAACGTTTTCGCCTTGCGTTGTTTTCTCCGCGACAATTTCGTCTGCGATGTTTTTGCCGCGATGTTTTCGACTGTAACCTGCTAACCTATGCCCCTGAAGCTTTCGCCATATTATTTAGATAGGTTTACCATAGTTTAGGAAAGATAATCCATAACATGCTATGAAAAGTTAATTTCAGTACTTAAAAATGCCCGTGATAAATAGATTTAAACCATTCTTATAAGTTTAATTAAATTTCAAAGTTTTAAAAAATTATGTGTACTAGACACAGTGATAAATTACTGTTCATGCTGTTACAAAATAAACATTGATAATGAATCTAGTACTGTACAAGATTTCAGAATTTAGATTTTAGGTCATTAATTTAGTTTTCAGATTTTAAGTCATAAAATTAAAGTTATGGAATGATTGTCAATGAAATAATGAAGTAAGGTATTTCCAAAGTTTAAGAATTAAGCTCTAGTTGAACTCTTAGAACTTATTGGCTACATTACTGGCCAAGTCTTAAATGTTTATGCAACTATCCAATGATATATATAGCTTAGTCCTGTTTCAGTTGTTTAACTGATGCAGGGGTAATTTTTGTAGCTTTGCTTTTGCAATTATAGAAGGTTTGGAGAGTAATCATTCTCTTTTTGTGGTAACGGGCTGTCAAAATTTTAGAGATTGTTTAAAGTCTGTGAGGAGTATTGTATTTCCATATCTTTTTCACATTTAAAAGAACTCTTTATGGGGTATTCAATTTGAGAGTTTAACCATACTACAAATTAATGGGTGGAGGAAACGCTGAAATATTTCTTTGAGGATGACTTAATTTAGAGATAAATGTATTGAGTTAAATGGGAATAAAGTTGAGAAACTGCATTGTAATAGTGATGGAAATTGATAAAAATAATAATTAAAAAAAATTTAAATAAAAAATAAAATAAAAATAATTGTATCTAAATTCCTAGAACTTTGGAAACGTCTCTCATGTTTATGACCTTATAGCAGACAAAATTTACAAAAAGAGCTCAATCTGTACATTTGTTTTGTTTTATTATTATTATTATTTGTTGAGCAGTTTTGTTTTTTGAATTAAAACTTCAGTTTTATAAAAAGACAATTTCTTATTCAGGCACAAAACTATTATTCAGGTCGCCATGTCAAGCATTACCTGTATATAGTCAACTGAAATCTCTTCATTCTGAACAATCATTTTATTGTTTTTTCATTATCGGTGACAATATTTTCTGGATTTTGAAATCGTGCTACAGATTTTCACTGTTTGTTGATTGATAATTTGGGTTTTGTGTAATCGCAATTAAGACATAATTATATCATCATCATTTAGTATTTCTTCACATGTTCAATTAGTTGGGCTCTTGGTACTTTTATCATTTGGCATATTTCCTTGCTTGGAGGAATCATCAGTTGATTTGGCTTCTTTCCTGAACCAAACACATTTTTCATCTAATTATAGTTTTTTTCTCAGTTATTTTTTTAAATTGAAGTAGATTTTTACAATTTGGCATTTTTCAAGAAATGAACAAGCAGCTGTCTTTTTTCTTTAATAAAAGGGGTAAAAGGAGATTGGGATTGAATAACTATGTGATGAAATTAAAATGTGACTCGATGATGAAATGGTGATATTTTATGGGCTTGCCAATGTGCCACTCAACGGTCAATCAAAAGCCATTTCATTGTTTTTGACTGGCTGATGAGTGGCACATGGTCACTGGAGTGTAAAACTTCAGTTACTACATCTTTATTTAGCATTGTATCACTATTCTGTTAATAAAAAATTTTTGTTTTTAGCTCATGATATTAAATAATCTTCAGATTTGTGGCATCAAGGGTGATCTTACTGCTGTACTGATTTTAAAAAGGTTACTTTATACTTAAAAAATTCTAATATCTATTGCCTATGGAGGTATAGTTTGGAATAAACAGTAAACCGAAGATATTATTTAGTACTGAAACTTTAATTGTGATAAAATAATAATAAAGTTAAAGAAGAGTGCAATTTGCAGTGCTAACTCAGCTTAAGTTCATCAGAATCTAATTCTTTCTTCCTTTTATATAAACAAAAGAAATCAGTTCTTGCAACATTCCACTCTAAACATAGTTCATTGGACTTCAGTTATTGTGCATGGGCTTATTTAAGATAGAAAAATGCTGCCTCTCTATGATCATTCAAGGCCCAAAAAATGAAAAAGTGGTTTGCTAATGGAAATAAGATTAGTTTCTTTTCATGGATTCACTAGCCAGCAGGTGTTTAAAGAGGGGGGGGGAAATGCAAGAGGATTTGATACTGTTGCAGATAATGATATTTCTCAGTAAGAGAAATCTTGGCTAATCAGGAGAAAAATCTTTCTTGCTTGTTCTTGAATATCGTACTCTTTGTTCCTTCACTATCTGAGAAAAAGAAAATTTCTCAAAAAAAAAAAAAAAAAAGAGAGGTTATTGGAGGTCGGTCATCGGACTTTGCACTATGTATCAAATTTTAAAATGTGTAATATGAATATAACATGCATGAATTTAAATGAAATTTAAGGTAAATAATATCTAGAATTTTTTTTCTTGCTACCTTCTGTATATGTTTTAAACATTTATTTCCTATATAAATAATCAGAAATAGTTTGTTTTTTGTGTAGCTAGATTATTTTAAAACATATTTTTTTTTAGTTTAAGTTTTTTTCCCCTTTAAAAATGGCGTCAATAGCATTTGCAATACTTTTTATGTTATTCTAGTTGATGTGGCATTAACTTAGTGCATGCGGGGGAAAAAAGCTTTGCTTATATAACTATAATAACTATATGGACAATCTACAATGAGCTCAGTGCTACTAATAATAACAATAATATTGTGTTAAAGCTATTTTAGAAAAAATAAGATGCAAGTAAAGTGATTTTCAGCTATGAAAAATACAGAACATGAAGCATAAATAACATCTGAAACAAACTAGAATCAGCCAAATAAATGACTGATATCATAAAAAACTCCATCATTTTATACATCCTTGTATTTAAGAAAAACTGGACATTTGACATGCACAGGTTTCAATTTATTGAAAGGAAACCATTTTACATGATCTAATCTTATGTTCAAGTTGATTTGACCAATTTATTAGTTTGAGAATTTAGATAATGTAAAGAGGCTGCAAATTACTTTGCCTGATTGTAAATTCTTCCACTGAATGTTAGAGAGTTTTATTTTATACAACATTTAACTTAGTTAATGTTTTCTGTTATATTTTATTTAGTTTTTGCATGTACTTCATTTTTAAAAGTATGTATGGTAGCTTAATTTAACTAATATATAGGGTTATCAGTGAATAAGCCCTGATTTCAAAATTAAATATCTCTACAACAAAGATCGATAGAATTATGTGGTAAACTGTACGTTCATTAGCAAAACTGTAAAAATGGTGTACAAAAGTTTAGAAAATTTAGTTACGAAAATCGTTAACAGATGGCGTTCTACACTGAAAACTCTTTCTCTGAAAAGAGTAAAAAAAAAAAAAAAAAAAAAAAAAAAAAAAAAAAACAAAGTGAAGCAGTTTTTGCAGTCAAAATACAATTTTTTCAAAATGTAATGTTCACCATTCGAAAGAATGAGGTGGTGTAAACGAACAATGAAATTTGACATCACGTCTTGCAATGTCTCAACGGAAATGGAATCACATGCAACACCAATCAACGATTCAAGCTCATCTAGAGTAGCGGGATTGTTTCGATAGACAGTGTCTTTCAATGCGCCCCACAGAAAGAAGTCACAAGGACTCAGATCGGGAGAATATGGAGGCCAAGCTATTCCTGTGTCAGTAAATTGCGGATAATCTAACGCAATTACTCTATTCCAAAGTATTCATGAAGAAAGCGAAAAAACTTTATCTGTTCGATGTGGTCGAGCCCCATCTTGCATGAACCAGTCAATACCTGGTCGATCCTCCAACGCTAGTTGAGTGCTGACAAATTGTTCCAAAATTGTAACGTAACGTTCAGTTTGTTTCTTGTACAAAAAATGGTCCGATAATGCCTCTGGCGCATACCGCAGCCCATGCAGTAACGTTAGGCGAATGCAGTGCTTTCTCTTCACACAAATAAGGATTTTTGGTACCCCAAAATCTCCAGTTTTTTTTTTTTTTTTTTTTTTTTTTTTTTTTTTTTTTATTAACGATTCCATTTAAATGAAAATTTGCCTCATCTGTGAACGAGATGCAGCTCACATCAAATCTGTCGTTGTCGACCATTGTTAGAATCTGATTTGCAAAGTCAACTCTTTGTTGCACAGCTTTCATGGGTATGGCCTGATGACCAGATTTTGTATGGAAACAGCCGTAGCTATTTTTAAATATTTTTTGCGTGCTCATGTACTTCAAACCTGTATCTGATGCCATCCGTCAGATGCTTTTCGTAGGATTTTGCTGAACAATTCCAGAAACTTTGGCTGCATTTTCAGGAATGACTACACTTTGCCTAGGCCCAACATTTCCCTTTCTATCATAAGCCACACTGCCAGTCCGTTCAAATTTCGCGAAGAGCATGCGAATAGTTTTCGCATCGGGTCCAACTGGAACATTGAATTGGATTTGAAAACTGCAGCGTGTTGCCGTAGGATTGCGTTTTAATCGGTGAAATTTCAGACCCCCCCCCAAAAAAAACCCACGTTGTTCAATGGAATACATTATTTCACTTTCTACGCTAGCCTTTTTTCACTAACCAACAGTCGTACTGATCACTTTCGAATTCAAAGCACATTTTTAAAGGCTATTGATATGTCGTTGCGATTAGAGCGCCATCTGTTAACAATTTTCGTAACTAAATTTTCTAAACTTCTGTATAGCATTATTACAGTTTTGCTAATAAACGTACAGTTTACCGCATAATTCTATCGGTCTTAGTTGTAGAGATATTTATTTAATTTTAAAATCAAGGCTTTTTCGCTGATCACCCTGTATTTACATTTTGTGTTCATAAACTGTCTGTATTAAAACTTTTTTTCTGATTTGAAAATTGATTTTTCTAGCCTCAAACACCACAATTATCACCTCAGGAAGAGCAAGAAAAGCTTTTAGATGAAGCTGTAAGTGTTGTGAAACTTCAGGCATTTCAAATGAAACGGTGTCTTGATAAGACAAAATTGATGGAGGCTTTAAAACATGCTTCAAATATGTTGGGAGAGTTACGTACATCTTTGCTGAGTCCAAAAAGTTACTATGAACTATGTATCCTTTATTTTTTGAGTATTTAAAAAAATTTGTTGGATGGAATATTGCTAATTGTGTTTTAAAGCATTCATTTGGCATTTCCAAAATTGGAAATACTAATGTTTTATAAATTAGCCCAGAACTGGTGTTATTATTTTTACTATACAAAGAAAATTTTGTCTTGTCAAATAAGAAGTGTTGCCACTCCATTTGGCATAATCTTTTGATTTTGTACCATACATATGTACTAGTATTTCTCAATACTAAAGAAATTATTTCAGTTTTCGAGTGCATGTTTCACACATGAAAGAAAGCTGAAATGTAAAAAAAAAAAAAAAAAAAAAAAAAAAATCAGATTTTTTTTTCTTGTTTCTTGTCTCAACAGTTAGACACTTATGAATTTGTTGCCAAGAGATAGTGAAACCCATCAATCAGTTTACTGTCTTATTAAAAACATTCTTCAAGGTGCTGTACAGAGATTAGGTTGACATTGTATCTGCGAAAAAGGAAAATGACAGTTATAACTACTAAGTCTTAAAGTGCTATCACATACGATATTTGTTGCCAAAACATAATGTTAGACGGAACAATTCTGAGAATTGTGCTTCCATGAAATCGGGTTACCCTCTTCACTAGGTAAATAGGCTGAAAGCCAAACAAGAAACTGTTATCACTCAGACTGCCGAAAGTGACGTTTCCTTTCAAGTGACAATTGCTTTTCTGTGTTGTATTTTGTATTGCTCACACTCTTTTCATTTTAAACTTTATTGTTAGTTATGAAAAATAATAGAAAGGTGATGGCTATTAAGTAAATCACTTTTATCTCAACTTTGGCAATTCTAAAAGCTAAAGAGAAGTCATATTCATATATTCATAATGATCTGTTGTATATATTTGATTTTATTATTGTAAATTGTTATTTTTGTATCCATATATGTATTTAATAACTTTTACGTACATGATATAATGCTATTTACTGATATTTGTTTTGCGATAGTCAAAAATTTTTATTTTATCCAAAAATGTTAAATATTTCATAAAGGCTACTTGCCCTTTTTTTTTTTTTTTTTTTTTTTTTTTTGTTGTTGTTGTTTAAATTCCCAAGTATAGTTACAAATGCAAAGGTTGTGTGTAAGTGGGCGAATTTTAATGATGAGTGTAATGCACAAAATGCACTTAAATTAGTTTTCAACTGTGTATTCCATATCTATGATAATGTGCAAAGAACTGATGACTACAGTTGCTGACAGTTATGAGATCGTTATATGAATTAACTTCAAATAAACTTTTTGGCAATTTTAATCATTATACTAATTTCTTTTCATATAACTTTTAATTCCAATACTTTCTTCTGGGTGGAAAATTTTTTTTTTGGATGATGAGAGTAATTACCGTATTTGCCGGCATATAGGACACGCTTTGTTTCTTTGAAAATAGATCTGAAAGATGGGGTGTGTCTTATATGTCGATACTCAATTTATTTGAAGTTGTGTAATGTTTTTTTCCTTGTTTCCTTGCAAAGTGAATATTTCAGTTACTTCAGTGAATGTGCGCATGCTCTGTCATCGACGATCATAGCTGGGTTTGTTTAAATTTGTGAATGACTGTTAAGTGTGTGAAATTTCTATTGTTCAATTTTCTTAAATTTGTTGGAAAGTTATGGCCCCCAAACAAGTTAGCAGTGCTATAACATAGCATACAAGCTACGTGTGATAGCGTATGCTAAAAAACATGGAAACAGGACTGCAGAGAGACATTTTGGGTCATTCCTAACTGAGAAAATGGCAAGAATTTGGCGGAATCAGGAAGAGGTAGTAATGCACTGGATGGTACAGAGGACAATTTGTTGTAAGAGGACTTGGATGATGATTTTGAAGAGGTTTCAAGTGACTCTTCATTCAGCTCTGGAGATGAGTGTCTTGGTTTTGATGAAGAAGATTAAAAAGTGTTTTTTTCCAGATAAATTTTATATTTGCTGAAAGTATTACTTTGTATTTGTATTACTTTATATTTAAAATACTGTAAATTCATTATAATGGTCAGTAATGAAGTTTTAGTTTTCAAAAATGTGTATAAAAAACGAAGTGCGTCTTATACGCTGGCAAATACGGTATTTATTATTCATGCAGGTGCATGATTTAAATTGGATGTATCAGCCTTATTCATTTCAGATTCAGTTTTAGTGACTGACAAAGCTGGCTATGTAAAACTTTGCGGTTTCAGCATACATAGTATTGAATTCAATACCACTCAGTTCCCATTAGTTCTTCCCCTCAAACATTCTTAAAGCTTCAAGTGCTTTACCAAACCTAAATCCTTGCAGTCAATGTTTGCTCCCAAACTTACTTGCAGTCTTTTTTGGTCAGATGTAATTTTTGTGGTCTCCTTTTCCTGAATGTAATTTATCAAAGCTTGCTGTCTACTTTTTAGAGGATTTATTTTGAAGTAAATTGCATCTTTTATATTGTCCCCCCCCCAAAAAAAAAAATAGCTAAAACATAATCATTAGCAACTCTGCGTTTTACAGTGTGTCAGCACCATATCCAAGCATGATGCCTCCAAAAATATACGTATCGTTGATAAAAGTATATTTTATTGTATCCCTTGGCGATTTTTTGCGGTACATGGGTACCAAGTTTGTGCAATTCTTTGACTTGTTATTTTGGCTTGCGTAGAGGCGATTTTTGCGGCAAAAAACAGCGCTGCACAAAGTCAAAATAATGACAAAGAGTTGCATAAACTCGATATACATGCACACATCAACCTATTTTCACTTAAAAAAAAAAAAAACTTCCAAAATTGCACAAAAATGGTATTGCGTACTCCCTTGACTTTATCCATGTACACATTGACTTATTTTCACTTAAAAAAAACATCAGAGAATTGCACAAACTAGGTCCTTGAGTATGTCCATGTACACATCGTTATATTTTCACTTAAAAAGTCAAAGGAGCACCCAATTCTACAGCAGAGGCAAACAAAAAATACATAATCTCGATAAAATGCATTTTAAACCAAACAATAAAATAACATAAAAAAGGAAAAACATGTTATGTATTTAAGCACTAGGCAAAGCAAGTATCCACCTACCTTACTTAGAAATTCCTTCGTGTTCAGTCTGTGGCACACAAAATTCCTTAACAGAATCCAAAAACTTCCTAAAATTATTTGAACTCGAATCCACATATTGGCATTGCCACATAAATTCACAAAAATATCATACGTAATTCCGGACTGTCCGGAAAATGGCTACTAAGTAAACCTTCATTTACACACCAGTCAATGAATGCACTTTTCCCCTTTCGTTCCAAATTGTACAGAAAATTCATATTAATCTTACTACATTTAGCCATTCTACCGTGTAAGCAATGAAACAAGCAATGCATTTCCTAACAACACACACCACAAAAGCCCTTACAAAACATCCCATGATTCAAAATTTCCTGAAATAATGCAAACGATTACATCATAATAGTGTTTCCATAACATTCAACTACTCAGGTTACCATAAATGAAACAACAACTTGGCGATAAATGAAACAAGAACTTCGCAATAATACAAGGGGTACCCTAAAGTCAACTCTAACCGTATTATTTTAGTGAAATAAGGGTATGATATTTTTTGCACTTTATGGAAATTATATGAACAAAAATAGCTGAAGATGTCCATGCTTTATTGCATTACTCACACATTATTGTTGCAAAAATTATACAAAAAAAAAAAAAAAAAAAAAAAAAAAAAAAAAAGCTATAGATAATGTCGACATTTTGTTGTATTTTACACACATTATTTTTACAAAAAGTATATGCATCCAAATATACTAAAAATAAAACAAAACTACCAGCATCATAGTATTTTTCTGCATTAATTTTATAAATATTATACGAGTTCTAAAATGATCGAAAATAAAATTTATGAGTTCAAAATATCTAGTGATTTTCTGGCATTTCCACGAACATAAAAAAAGAATTATACACACACACACAAAAAAAAGGTCCAACAGCATTTTGATGTGATACCTTAACTATATATATGTTTAATACCTGTAAGAAAACATGTTCATTATAACACAAAGCTACACATACGGTCATGTTGACTGTGTATGCATTTTAAATTTTATTTTACTATTTAAAAAGTATCATAAGGCAATAAAAAATTAAAGAACATTTAAATTAACAAAGTAAACATTTAAATTGAACATAAGTGATAATAAATGTATTACAATTTTGAAACTTTTAGAACATTATTTTAATGATCACGTATGAGGCTAAAATTAAGACCTACAGAATAATTTATTAATTTTCTTATACCAAATTTATCATTTTTTGTTGATATCAGCACCTATATTACCGTATTTGACGGCATATAAGACGCACTTTTTTCCTAAATTTGGTCTCAAAAAAGTTACCTGTGTCTTATACATGAAGGACACAGGTTAACTTTCAGTACTGAATGCTATATTTAGCCTGGATAAAGGTCTAGACGCACATAACTTTTTCTACATCTGCCATAATTATTTTGCGCATGCGTGAAATATCTGTCGCCAAAAAGCGTCGAAGCTGATGTCGAAGTTCGAACAGGTTCATTACGTGTATGGAGTCTTTCCTTCTTTACATAGACTTTCTTTGACTCAGCCGACACACGTGTCAGTGTTGGTGCTACTTTGTTTAAACATGTTGGTATTGGTGCTTAAAACTATTTGTTTAAAAAAAATACCCTGGAAAATATGGCTACAGGAAACAAGAGATTAAGCTATACAATTCAGTATAAACTAGGAGTGTTAAACTATGCCAAAGTGCATGGAACAGAGCAGCAGCAAGGCATTTCGGTCCACCACCTATCAAAAAATGATACGTACTTGGTGACTGCAGGAAGATCAATTGAAGACTGCTAAAAAACCAAAACATAACCTTCAATGCCCAGCTCCATCTTGGCCTGAACTTGAAAATGCCATAAAAATGTGGGTGATAGATAAGAGGAAATCTGGGATAAGTGTTTCAACCAAAATGATAATCAA